GGTAAAGCTTTGGTTATTTATATTGTTTTCTGTATTTCTAGCAAATGTTTCAATCCTGTTTCACAATACAATGCACATAAGAAAATATTTGCGGAAATCTCGGGTACATATTTTTTAATCGTTTGATTTTTGGCATTCTATAGGAGTCATCTAAATCAAAGAAATACTGTTGAMAGTAGGTGTTTCCTTGATTCCATTTCATTGTCACCATCATCCCTTGCAGTATTTCAGAAAGGATTTCKGAGGTAGTCTTTGAAAAATGACCTGATTATGATTCCATGTAAACCACGGAAAAAATACTCACCAACTGCAACTGAAACCCATTTCAAAATTTAAATAATGACACACTGATTTAGAGTAAGGAAATGGAAGTAAAACCGAGAAGAAAAAGATTTTTATGCTCTCACTTTTTCCTAGTCAAATGAATGAGTAAAAGAATTTTTTTATGTCAGGAAAAAAACCCAAAAACATTAAGAGAACACTTCCCTTCAAGATATTTCCTTCATTTTCATGCTTTCCTTAAACTGGGATGGACAAGAAATAGCTCTTGAGCACTGTAAGTAGGTCAGTCACTGTTCTCATGCCCAGACCACATTCCYCACAGTGGGAAGCAGGATACCAGCAGGGCTTGCATATATGCACTCTCTCTAGGTCGCATGSAGGTTTCTTTCTTTTCTCCCTGAAAACAGTTCCATTTCTCATTGGATTGGGAGCACACTGGGAAGCAATTGCTATAATTTGCTTTTGAATTGTTCCCAAGCATTTCCTCTGCCCTTGGTTCTTCAGGTTATGTTAAATGTATCTTCAGGTTCTAAGACAAATTTGGGTTTTGCTATATAACGATATGGTATAGGAGACCAATGATTTTGGCATCAAACTGCCCCCAGATATAGACAGTTGGTGTGTACATTAAAACTGCATTTGGGGGGATTATTATCTCCTGTGATGCCGTTTCAGCAGGAGTATGAAGAGAACGCTTCCCACAAGTCCTAAGCACCTCACAGACCTTTTGACAGCAAATGTGAGTTGAAACATGCCAGAT